TAACATTTGTTAACATTTGTTAACATTTGTTAACATTTGTTAACATTAACAGCTCCCATTTGTATAGAATTTTCAATATTGCATTTGCTCCTCCTAACAACCCTGTAAGGTGGTGTTGTTTGTCCTTCATTTTTGAAAAGGACCCATGACATCACCAGATGAAACCTTGACTCGTGCATGATTTGGATTTAAAGTGAGGCAGAATTACACAAAGTCATCAGCCTCACTTTTTCTTCCAGAGTCACTGACATCTAGTGGCAAGACAAAAGTCAAGATGAACAGCAATGGCCCAGGATGCAGTGGGAGAGCTTGGTGTCTTCAAGGCCTGACTAAGCTCTAAGTGCTCCACAGCACCTGCATCGGCCACCTTCATGGCCTTTGGAACGAACTGTTCTCATCTGCCCATTCCACCAGAGGAAGTCTTCACAAGCTTGGGGCAGGCATCCCCCAACTCACCAATGGGTATGAGGCCCATCTCTTACCATCAACCTGGTTTTTAGCCTAACGGCTCAGACAGTCTACCAGGGTGTGGCGACTGTGCATGCTACAGCTTTTTGGAACCACAGGTGAGAGATGAGTGTCAGGCAGACACCAAAGGTGGGTAAGCAGCTGTGAAAAAGGCATGGCAAGTCCTCCTACCAGAGGTGCTAGTGCTCCTTGAACTGCCCCCTTCCATCTTGAGCCCCCCATAGAACCATGTAGATTCAATAACTATCATTATCCACTTTATAGATAATAAATCTGGGGTATAGAGTTGACAAGGTCATAGTGCTAATAAATGTCCCTTGGAATTCAAACTCAGGCCTTTTCTGACTTCCTTCCACCACACCGACTTAAAATGAAAAGATATGCTAGTAGGGAACTGGTCAATGATCTTTTTTTTAAGATAATTTTGGAGGCATTTGTACATGAAATAAGATACTATCAGATGTATATTACATGTAAAATTAGATTTCTCATCTAACTATAATTAGATATATTTGTATATGAAATAGATATTTATATACAAAATTAGATACTATATCAGTTATGACTCTAGCTGGAAGAATTCTGAAATGCATAATGTAGTAATCTGGGTTCCGTGTTTACTATAGTAATAATATTACTAGAAACACACAAAGATGTCTAATAGCTATCTGTCAGTGAGATGTGCTTTACTTAGAATCATAAAACTTTAAGAGCTGAAAAGAATCTTTAAAATTATTAAATTCAATTTCCCCACTTTATCAATACAGAAACCAAAGCCCAGAGAGTAATGTGACCTAACCAAAGTCACCTAGTAATTGGTACCTCTTAAAAAAATGAAGTAAGGTCTAGAATCTGGGTCCACTGAGCTTCAGAATAATGATGTTTCCACAAAACCAAATTGCTTCAAGAATCTCTCTATCAATCTGGCTAGTACAAGACAAGATCTCAATGACATACCTTTCTTTGTAACATCTCAGTACCAAGTACCAAACAGAATACCAAACAGAAGCAGCCATATCACAGTTTACGTTGGCTCTACATGTCTCCTTAAGAATGTTTCAAGAGCTATATTTTAAATATCTTTAAAAGATTCCTTCCAATTCTCAAATTGAAGTTCATATCATACATCTCTTGCAGCTACTTCAGTAATACTGATAGGAAATAATTAACAGAAATTAACTGTAAAGCCCATTATAGTCTTTTATTTTATACATGTAGTTACCACAGAACAAAAGAAAAAAGGAAAAAAGACAGAGACACAGGGATTTATAAGAGTGCTTTTATTACCTTTTTAAGGCTTTAGGAATATCCAATTTCACAAATGTCATCATTAAAAATGTTTAACAAATACATATCTGGAAATTCAGCACTTTCTTTAAATCTACTGAAAAACAACCCAATGTTAAAAGTCTCCAGGGACTGACAGAGCAAATAATTCTTTGCCAGATAGTGCAAGCGGTTTATGCAAATTGTGGCGGTTGAATGGGGGAAGTAATGCTCTTTCAGTCACCATTCACTTACTAATGTTTTTAACCATAAGAAATTTTTCTCAGAAAAATGCCTTGCCCTAAGAAAGATCTTCTGAGGTCTTTTGGTAGTGTTCTAAATTAAGACTTCATAACATACTACGTGATTAATATGTGTTAACATTAATACTACTTGAAACTTCCAAGGATGATGCCAAGATGGTAGAGAAGCATTAACCTGAGTTCTCCCAACACGCCCCTCCAAACAACTCAAATCGAATTCTGGAGTGGCCAAGCCAACAAAAAAGCCAAAGCGAAATGTTCTTCTAGCCCACGACAACACAGGAAGTTAGAAAGAGAGATCTGTGCCAGAGAGGTAGAGGCTGGCCTAGAACCCATATGGATGAGGCCCCGTGGTGGGACTACGCTGTGGCGAGAGAAACGGCAGCAGCTTTGGGAACTCACAAGCCAGAAATGGTAAGGGGACCCAGCAACTGGTCAGAAAGAGTTTACGAAAGACTGCTTTTCTAGCACTGGATACAGGATCAGGCCCTTTTTGGCAACCCCAATGCCTATACCCGCTACTGGGTCATAGTTCCAGGGCAGAGGAAGTAAAAGTATTGAGGGGCAGTATCACTCCCAGCCCCGACGGATCAGGCACCTTGAGAGGCAGTATCCCTTCTGGTGCCAAGAGAGGCGGGGCCCTTAAGAGCAATACTGATTTCAGTCCCAAGTGATCATGGGCCCTTCCTCGGTAAGGACCAGAGGAAGACCAAGAGAAAAGTGACCACACCTGTCCCCAGATCACACCAACTTGGATATACTGAAAACTTCTACCCCCAAAAACTAGCTCTGAAAATAGCAGTGTGAAAAAGCCTAAAGATCGAGAGAGAGGCTTTCAACCCTTCACTCTCCAACCACAATCTGGAACAGAGCCCGACGTTAATATAAAATTCAAAATTGAGAAATAGAATGGGAAAATGAGCAAAAAGAAAAAAAAAGATAGGGGGGGAGAACCTAACCATAAAAAGCTACTATGGCAACAGGGAAAATCAAGACAGACTCAAAAGAAGACAATGAAGTCAAAACAGCTACAAGTTGAGCATCAAAAAAAAAAAATGCAACCTGGATACAAGCCCAACAAGTATTCCTGGAAAAAGCTAAAAACTTTTTTTTTTAATCAAATAAGAATAGCAGAGGAAAAATTGGGTAAAGAAATAAAAGTGGAGGAAAAAAATTAGGGCAAGACAATTGACACCTTGATAAAAGAGTCACAAAAAATACTAAAGAAAATAACACCTTAAAAAACAGTATTGGCCAAATGGAGAAAGAGGTACAAAAGCTTACTGAAAAAAATAATTCCATAAAAGTTAGAATTGGGCAAGTGGAAGTTAATGACTCCATGAGACATCAAGAAACAATAAAACAAAGTCAAAAGAATGAAAAGATAAAAGAAACGTGAAATATCTCATGGAAAAAGCAACTGAACTGGAAAATAGATCCAAGAGAGATAATTTAAGAATTTGGGGATTACCTGAAGGTCAAGATCAAAGAACAGATATCATATTTCAAGAAATTATCAAGGAAAACTGACCCCAATATCCTAGAATGAGAGGGTAAAATAGAAATTGAAATAACCACCTGAAAGAGATTCCAAAATGAAAGTTCCCAGGAATATTACAAATTCCAGAGCTCTGAGGTCAAAGAGAAAACACTTCTGGCAGCAAGCAAGAAAATATTCAAATACCATAAAACCACAGTCAGGATTACACAAGATTTAGCAGCTACCATATTAAAGTAGCAAAGGGCTTGGAATATGATGTTCTGGAAAGCAAAAGAGCTGTGATTACAACCAAGAATAACTTACCCAGCAAAACTGGGCATAATCCTTCAAGGGAAAAAAAAATAGATATTTAATGAAATAGAAGACCTTCGAACATTCCTTATGAAAAGACCAGAACTGAATAAAAAAATCTGATTTTCAAATACAAGACTCCAGAGAAGCATAAAAAGGCAAACATGAAAGAGAACTCATAAGGGATTCAATAAGGTTAAACTGTGTACGTTTTTATACAGGAAAATGACATGTATCTTCTAAGAATTTTATCACTGTTAGGGAGAATGGGGAAGGGAGAGGAAGAATGGGGAA